AGCGGTCGGGCCGGCCGTCGATGGGGGCAGTGAGACACTGGTGGCCACAGTCGGGGCGAACGCTTTGCGCAGTTTTTGTTTCTGTTTTGGTGGCAGCGGTGGCGGCGTATCCGCGGACATGGGATTGGTGTACAGGTGGGCGCCGGAGCCGCCATCGGCTGTGAGTCCCGGCGCTGTCAACACGTACTCTATATTAGTGAACGTATTGCTGGTCGTCGTCGAGGGGCTGGCGTTGGAGGCGGCGGACATGTGAGCCGGCACTGGGAGCTGACCCCCACCACCACCACTACCGCCAGTAGCCGTATGGGCGCCGAGCAAACCGTTGGTCAGATTGATGGTAGTCTTCGTGAGCGACGGGTTGAGCGGCGAGTGTGTGGCCGGCAGTGGTGGGTGGGGTGGGGGCGGCGAGTGGCTAGTGGTACGTGCTAGGTGCTTTTGGTGCGATGGCGAGTAGCTGTTGCCACCGCCACCCGTGCTGTGATGATTGTGATGGTTGTTGTGGTGACCGTTGGATGAGTGGCCGCCACCCGACGAGCGCGGGTCGGGTGCGCCGGTACTACCCGTGCCGTTGGAAACCCCGTTACTGTTAACGCCATTAGCGTTGATATTAATGTTGTTATTATTATGCGATTTATTAGTCGATCGGTGTTTGGATTTCTTCTTAAATATATTATGCATTGCTTTAATAATTTGATTATATTTTTATTTAATTATGATTATTAACTATTTTTATAACTATTATTAACTATTAATAGTAGTGTTTTGTGTGCGATGAACATGGTATTTGTCAAATGTGAACGTTGGCGATTACTTTTGACGTACGTGTATTTATTAAATGTTGTAAATAACATTTAATAATGATGGATTGGATGTGCAATATTAATTTATGATGATGGTGTTTATTGTAAATCAGCTAGTGATTTAATTTAATCACAATAAACACCGTGGTAATAAAAGTGCGATATTATTTATTCACCAATATAGTTATTAATGAATTAATTGTCATTTTTACTGCCATGGTTATAAATTGTTAACCTTATTAATAGCTATATTATTAATATTAATAATAACCAACATGGTACAAATAAACTAAATCTAATCTAGCGTTAATTAATATTAGTTAAATTATTATCATAATCAAACAAAAAAATTCACACACAAATCAAACAACCATCACTGCATTATTATAACGCTGGGTATATTTCACGCGCTATTCGACATAGGTGAGTTGGTAAATAAACATTACATAATCAATAGATTATGATAAACAATGAACAATAATTAATGCAGCAAGCGCGTTTATAATATTAATCACAACACAATTATAATTCACACACAAAACAATGTAAATGTTGTTTTGCTTTTACATTAATGCAATTTTACTGCTTATCCCATACACTCTCGCTGTGTGTATCGCTCTCTACAACAACTAATTTACCATAAATAATGTCTACGAAAATACATTAAGTTTAATGACCCGTCGCGTTGGGAAACCCACACATGAGTAAAGACATGGGTTAGCACTTTTGAGACCCTATTGTAATATTCGCACGTAATTTACGGACAAATTCCTTATGTTTTGTGTTGATATGGGATTCTCGAGACACTCAATAGACTCGCACAGTGTCTGTGACCCTGACGTCACCACTTCCTCTCCACCCCTCCCACCCCTTCATAGACACTCATAACGTATACTAATATAATAATACACATTGAAATTCCCCCTTCTATTAATACCATGGTATTTATCATTGCCCCCGAAAAGTGTAATACCTAATTGTTTGTTGTGTGACTCATTCTATCCACAATTTATTAACTTGTATATACTGTACGTAATGGTCATTACATATAAGTAAACTTGATTATTTAATTCTGATGGTTAGTTTTATTTTAACTCAATTTAATTAACGTGATTTTAAACTTATTAAATGTAAAATGTCAACAATATTTATGATAATAGCTTATGGATAGGCCCAAAATATAATTTATCCGGCGCATAAATAACAACGAATTTATTTGGCAACCCTACCCTATTAAACGCAGGCATAGCGCAGCTTAATTAAATCAATTCCGGTGCGGACGTAATTTATGGTCAACAAAAATAACAGTTTTTGACTCATTTAAGGTGAATATATCTCAAAACGAAAACAACACACAAAAACACTATTGTGTTTGACGTGAATAATACAGTGAACTCCACTCTTTAGTAATACGCGTGTATATTCATAATAATGAACTCGTTATAAAAACGCGTTTTTCTAAGCTATTCTAATTACAGTCCGACTCGTGAGTGATATTGTCTTAATTACGATCACTTAAAACTTAACCCACATTTTGATCCCTGTTTTAAACGTGTTTTTTCTATTCAATGAAACACATATTTCTTGACATATTATGAGCTGAGCTGATGTTGTGGTGTGAACTTTGACTAATATATTTTGGCGTATTTAAATGTGCCCTGGTCATTTTGTTCAATATAATTATTTTATTCGAGTTAATTGATTAATAATTAAGACGTTATTAATTGTTAGGATTGATTAAAACCTGTGACACAAACATCGCGTGAATTAATATTATTACTAAACAGTGTATGAAATGTAACGCTATTTCAATGACTGGCTGTACAGTAACTCTCATGTGTTTGTCTGTTGTGTTTGCATAGCATTGAAAATAATTCCCATTGAAATAGTGTTGTATTGCGTTTATGGCTGTTTAACCTTAATGTATTAAATTTAATTAATTAATTACGCAAATCGACCAACATTGACTCAAATATCATATGTACAATGTGTTAACTCATCTCGATCTATGTATTATGATATGGTAGTTTAATAATAATATTAATAATAGCTAATAATAATAAAATTGTAATTGTTTTTATCATAGTGAAATAATAAAAAATAATTTTACAAAAACCCTGAGCCTATCTCTATATATCGCTCGTCATATGATAAGTAAATATTAGTTTAGGTTTTTTTAATTGAAAATTTTTACATTAGTCTGATTTTATCATCAGTTTTTTCGACGATATTCTAGTTATAGTAATATTAAAATAATACAATTTCGTGAAATACGTCTCGAGATATTTTTGAAATATTTAAAAACATACCAAAAAGTGTATTATTATTATTTTTGGTGCGTTAAATATAATTACGAAATACTTTTACCATATATTTCGAGTACACGACATTTAATTAAACGTGGTTTTTATTGCCAATATTAATTTGTATTTTTATTAACCCATCGCAAAGTTTTTGTTTTGTTGGTGTTGTGTCTGTTCGTGTATTTTAATCATATCTTAAAACACTAGTTAATTAATTAAAAACTATAAATAATGGGACTATTATTTTCGCGATTGTGGAGTTACTTTACCCACGAAGGTATTGTATTAATTTAATTAATCATGATCAAAGCGATTAATCAATGCTGTAATTAACCTGTTTGGTCAGCTCTGGTCATGTCTATAGCGATTGTTAATTAATTGTATTTATTTTTATTTCATCTCTGTCCTGGTTACCACCATGGTGGGCTTCATTACTGCAACTAGAACATAAATTAGTGATAATTGGCCTTGATAACGCGGGCAAAACGACCATATTATATCAATTGTGAGTATAGTTAAGACACATTTTTGGCACATATTTTTGTCATTTCAACATTAAAAACAAATACCAAATCAAAGTTTTTATCACGTGTTCGTAACACCCGTTACTGTGAACCCCTCTCTCCTTGACATACATTTCAAATGTAACATTTGTAACCAGGATTTCAGTCAAAAAATTTAGTACACTATTCACACATATAAACAGTACTGTTAAAAAATTCCTAGACTTAAATATAACGGGTGTTCACAAAAACACTGCGAAACAAAAAACTTTTAGATCACAATAAAAAACAATAAAACAATTTGAAAACCACAGTAAAAAACAAAATACATACTGAAAAACCATACAATGCATAAAACTAATGCATACCTACTGTCTAACCCCTACGACCGGAACACCCCTAACAGCCTAATGGAAGAAGTAGTGCACACATCGCCGACACTGGGGTCGAACGTGGAGGAAGTGGTTTGGAAGAACATCCACTTTGTCATGTGGGACATCGGGGGCCAGGAATCGATCCGTCAGGGCTGGCAAACCTACTACACGAACACCGAGTATATAATACTGGTGGTCGACAGCACCGATCGCGAGCGCATTGGCATCAGTAAAGAGGAGTTGTGGAAAATGTTGGCTCACGACGACCTCCGGAAGGCCGGTGTCCTGATCTACGCTAATAAACAGGACGTCAAGGGCTGTATGACCGCCGCCCAGATCTCCAAAGAGCTCAATCTGACCGCCATTAAGAAACACAAGTGGCAGATACAGGCCTGTTGTGCGCTCACCGGCGAAGGGTATGTTGTGCTGGTCATCCTATCTATGATTTCCAACAGTATTGTCCTGTGGTCTACAGTAATGTCTTGTAGTGTAT